CTAGGCTACCATTTTAGTATTGTGACAGAGCTTTTAGACATTGTAGAATGACTTGAATTTGATTTTAACACTAAATTCAATAAAATTGATATCATTTTTATTTCATGAAAGCTCTACCACTCATTCAGCATAATTTTTTTGAAAGTCATCCTCATAAAAAAATTATCCAAAAAATCAAGGATTTTGTCATAAATGATTGAATAATTACATTTGACCACGTGTATATGTTGACATAATTTTTCAGTTTTGAGTATTGAATAATAAGAATTATTGTTTTTCCAGCCTCATCTCTCTTTCTCTCTTCCTTCTCCTTCATCTTTCTCTCCCTTCCCCTCTTCCTCTTCCTATTTTTACATCACTTGTATTCCAAAAAAAAAAAGAACTTTGAGAGTCCAATAGCATAAATAGGTTGGATTCTTGTACTTCGTTGTGTGACTTGATTATCGTGCTCTGGTTCGGTAGTCAATTTGTTGCTATATGTGGTTGTTCCTGGAGGGTTTCCTCTCATTGCATTAATTCTTACCCTAATGCCAATTAATCTCATCTAATTGAGGTTGAAAACAAGTCATGCATATTTTTTTAATAACCCTCATATCTAATTAAAGATGCCCTTATCTTTGTAAGGATTGATATGTAACCATTCACTTTGAGTCTGTTTGGTTTGAGGGGAGGGAAAGGGAGGGGAGGGGAGGGGAGAGGAGGGAAGGGAGGGGGAGGGGAGCTCCCCCCCAATTTGGAGGGGAAGCTTTGGAGGGGAGGGGAGGGAAAATTTTAAAAATTTCCCCTCCCCTCCTTCTAACCAAAGGAGAGGAGGGGAAGGGAGGGGCTTCCCTCCTCCTAACCAAATGAGGGGAGGGAAGAGGAGCCCCTCCCCTCCCCTGCCCCCAACCAAACAGGACCTTTGTGTACAAGGATGTTTTAGGCTCGCCCTATTAGTAAGCTAACTAGCTAGCTAAGTTTGCTCACCCCACTTCCATTTTTCAGAGAAAGCCAATGATGAAAGTTAAAAGCTTGTTTGAAATTGTTTTTGTGTTACTGTTTTAAAAATTGATATTTTATAAAACATGTTATTTTTATGAATATAAAAAAAATTAATGAAAACAAATGTTTTTTTTTTTGCATTCTCCTTTGATGTTTTCATTTTTCTATTTTCTATAAAAAAATTATTTTTTTATTTTTAAAACACTTTTTAAAAATACATTACCAAACAATGTTTTTTTGGTTCTAAATAACAAAAACTGTTAAACAAGCTTTAATTATCTTTACCTTGTAATTATTTCTTTTGGTTTTTGTTTTTGGGATTCTGTCTGTTTATATTTGAGTGATGGTTTTCTCTTTTCCTTTACAACAATACGTCTTTATCGTATTCATCTAAATACTTCCGGAACATCTAATTTATTAAATACTTCCCGAACATCTAATCTATTAAATACTTCAGGAACATCATTATTATTTGAGCGCACTTAATAGACTTGCCAACCGAAAGAAAAGAAAAGAAAAGAAAAGAAAAGAATGGCCCGGATGTCACTATTCTAGTAATCAAGTTAGGCGTCATAGCAATGGTTCAAGTATGGTAAAAAAATAGTTGACAATATGAAGAAAAATACAAAAATAAATTAAAAAAAAGCACTAATAATGATCAAGTTGGCTTGTTAGTTGCTAACAGTCACTTTACAAATTCAATGTTTGTATCCTTATGCACTCTCTCCTGTGTTAATATAAAATAAATTTAATCAACTCCGCGTTTATACAGAAATATATTGTAATTGTTTAAAAAATATACAATTTTTCAATTCTATCATTCTTTACCGTTAATAATTATAATAAATTAACATCCATGAATGCGAACAATATAAATATATATATGGGGTAAAATTTTAAAAATAATAATTACTATAATTTTATCATATATTATAGATCATAGCTTTTTTATCCGGAAAAAAGATCGTACATAACTGATAACTTCTAAAATTTGTTTTATATTAAAAACCGAATGAAATATATTACTGTACTGGCATTGGTTTCAACCCCTCATGATGGGAATCCTATTCAGTCAATAAATATATAAAGACAAAAAGATAATTTTGAATTAAACCTCGAAAAGTATATGAAATATTTGGAAAAAACATACCTATGGATTTGATATCTAATAAAAAAAGTAATAGAAGAGACCGATGTAGTAATTTGTTAGCCATGCCAACTTCCAACATTGCATGTCTTTTTCCCCTTACTTCTGAGAAGGGTTAATAATTACAAATAATGATTCACAGCTTCTAATGATAAAAATTCATCTTCATCATTTTGGTATGCACGTTTTACCCGGCCTCCTCCAGTTATAATTTTACTCTAAAAAACAAGGTTATACTCCCTCCACTTTCAAATACAAAAAAATAACTAATTCACACCATTTAAGAAAGTTAATTAAATATAATAATTATGCCTGAAATTAAAAAAATTGAATTGAATTACCCTTATAATTAATGAAATAAATTCATCTAGTGAAAATAAATATTAACTTTGTGAGGGTTAACTTGAGAAAAAGGTAATAAGTGTTCCTAGAAATTTATAATTTTGCTTATAAATAAAAACAAGAAAAAACATGGCAGTTTCTCTCATATTTGAAAATGGAGGAGGGAGTATGATATTTTCTCGCCTGCGTATATCATTGTCACAGGGAAACTAAATTCCATTTCTACTACACATATTTACGTTAATTAGTCTTAGGATTAATATTGCAATTACTTTCATCATGCACACAATTATTCAATTTGAATGTCAAGAAACTTTACATATGACTCAAAGAAATCCCGTCCCATGCCCTGATAAAGGTAAAATTTTGCCCCTGGATCCTTCATTATTTGCGTCAAGTGATAACTTCCATTAGCTGATTTTGAAATATTTAACATAAAATATTAAGAAAAAATGACTTTAAAATCTCACCGAAATATGCAAATGGCATGTAGTCTCTCAAAATGTTATAATTTTCTAAAATCCTTAAAAATTTTTCTATCATTAATAAATTTATATAAATTACTAAATTATCCTTATTAAAAATAAATGATTTACATGTTTCCTTCTTATATTCGTAACTTTTTTTTAAAATTTGCAACAATACAGCAAAAAATCACAACTTTACATATTAAATTTTTTATTTATTGTTACATTGTTACGAATATAAGAAGGAAAATTATAAATATAAAAATGAAAGTTGTGAATCATTTATTTTTAATAAGAGTAATTTGATAATTTATATAAATTCATTAATAACAGAAAAGTTTTTAGAAACTTCAGAAAAATTATGACATTTTAGAGGATCAAATTATCATTTATATATTTCAAAAGAATTTTATTATCATTTTCCCAAATATTAACGCAATAAATATAGGATGTAAATTTATTTTATGTTGGAATTTAAAGTTATGAATTATGATGATGTATTTTATAATTTTATTTCCTATAAACCATGTTTAGAAAATCAAAACCCACAAAAGTGACCAAATTCATGGGCAGTGTTACAGATGTTGGTCATTTTCTCGGGCTACTTTGTTTCTTGTTTTTTCTGTTCCTTCTTGTTATGGCTTTGTACCATTCCAAGTTTCCACTAAGCGTTTGGTTTTGTTCTCTCTTGTTGATGTGTTGTAGGTTTACTAGCCTCTGCCCTTGGCTTGGCAGTGTCTTTTTTGTTCTTATCGCGTTGAAGAAGTTGGATCCTATGAGGTTCTAGCATATGGTTGTTCCTTTTTGGCTTTTATGGCTGCACTTCAAGAACCTTTGACCCTATTTGGCAGGCATACTTGAGTTTGAAGAGATGGGGATTAACATTGGTATTGAGATTGAAATTGGGAATGGTGCTTTAAAATTATATTTGGTATAGAGTAATAATTGTAGGTAATACCTCCCTTTATTTTATTTTACAATTAAATATAAATTATGAAAAGACCATAATACCTTCTATATTTTAATAAAAAAAAATTTGTAATCCTAGAACCCATCTGGCCATCTTTTCTATTGTATGCAATCGAACCCAACCCTCCCTCAACCTTGTTCATTATCACTCTCTACTCATCTGTCGTGCTACAATCACTCTACTCCAAAAATGAGGGTTTGCGACGCTGTGTGATCTCAATGATGGTGATCAATTGATGGAGATGGAGAAGAGCGCTTCGCAGCTGCTATCGTGATGAGGTTTCTGCTCAAAATAATGAAGTATTGTTGACGGAGGGAAAAGAAAGGGGAATGGTCGAAGATCATCATCGTCAAAAAAGGAAGGTGGAGTGCTGGAGGTCGTCGATGGCAAAGAAGGAAGGTGGAGTGCTTCCAGTCCTTAACAGAGGAGAAAATCTGGGTTTTTTACAAGAGAATTGTAGTTAAGAAAATTTTAATCTCAAGATCAATTTTGTAATATCAGGAGGTGGTGAGTTTAAATATTCTCACTTAAGTGATGTTGAGTAGTCCCAAGAATTGTTCAATGCTTCATACCAAATATGCCAAATTTGATATTACCCAAACCTAATCCTAATCTCCCAATACCACCTATCAAACAAGGCTTTTGGTTCTCTTGTCTGTGCCCGTTTACACCTAGTTCATGTAGATGTTGCATTGTTGGATCGATGCTCTCCGCAAAACCAAGAAGGCAGTGAGTTTTTATGGTTCTTTTGTTGTTATTTGCTTTACTTTGTGATCCAGTTCCTCAGGATTCGATTTTCCATTTGTAAGGGACTATTAACTTAATCAATTGTCCTCTATTCCCAAAAAAAAAAAACAAAAAAAGATATGCGTGCTACACAGAATGACGTTTAAGGCTGAACAACCACATGAATGATGATAATGATAATTTATTCTAAATGTTGTTTTAAAGCTACGATACATAGTTATTAAAATCATAATAATGTTTTCTTCATTGTGAGATTTCTCATCTAAACATAACAATAAATTTAAAATGCATTTTAGCATTAAAAATAAAAAATAGGAACAAATTTTAAAAAAATAATGAATGACAATGTTTTCAAGGAAGTTTTTTAACGATATTATTTTTGAATTAAAAACACACCTGTGGATCCATCTAACGGGCCGCGCGCAAGGAGCAACACTGCAACACGTCGTCGTTTTGCGAGGGTGACTCTGCACAATCTCACAATCATCATCACTGCAACTTTGACAATGCTTTTCCGTAACCGCATATCACGCCCTAAATCAACGCAATAATATCCACGTTACAAGCCCGGAGTGATCTATATCCACTTTCGTGCTACGTTTTCATTGGTTCATATTCCACCAGCATTTGACTTTTTCATTAGCTGACCAACCACATTGAGAGGCGCCCTCCAAACCTAATACTTCAGCCTCACAATATTATTATCGGAGAAAGGCTTCATAAAAGCGAAAGGCCTTCTTTTTGGTTTGCCTTTCCTGCTTTCCAGTTTTGTGCTCACTTTTATCCGCCGAGTGGGCTATGGAGTGTGTGGACCCTGTTACCTCACTCATCCCTGACTCGCCTTCTTTTCAGCCGAGTTGTGACTCGCCCATGAGACACCATCATCATCCTCGGAATTGCATAAATTGCAGGATGGATCCGTCCCGGAAGTCCAAGCTCAGGCCTTTTGGCCCTTTTAGCTGTGGGTGCTTCTCTGAATCTCGCTTTCACTTTTGTACCAGTTGGTGCAATGGCCGAATCCCAGGAAGTAACTGTCGAGGGGGTTCCGGGAACGCCTGCCATAAGGGAGGTGAGACCCGAGAAGGTGTCCGAAAAGCTCAATGCTGGAAACGCGTCAAGTGAGAACCCGAGTTTCGGGATCAGAAGAGTTAATTTAAGAGCTGAGATTGACACATCGCCGCCATTCGGGTCTGTTAAGGAGGCAGTGACCCGTTTCGGAGGTAGTGGACCTTGGCCACCTCTTTACAAGCTTGGAGAGGCTTTTGTAAGTTAGCTTGGTTCAAAATTCACATGGCTGCTTTTTATTTTGTTGTTTTTCAGTTACGAATATAATTTTTTAGGCCGAATGTTGGTGACTGGGCATTTACATGCTAGTGTTATGTTGGCAATTTTACCATTAGATTCAATGAATGAAGCCGAAGTGGCAAATCATGTCGTGAACTCAACTGAAATACAATGTTTCATCTGAATATTTAGACAATTTTAGGACGGAATTCATGCTTACGAGCTGTAGTGTTCTAATTGTTCTTTTATGTCATTATTGCACACGGTTATTAGAGCAATTGAGCAATTGCAGAATTGTTTTACCGCTTATGGTTCAAAGCCGGTCATTGTCAAAGCTAGGTGTTAGTTTTTCTGTATGATTGTGTATCTGATACAGATATTGAATGTAAGAGTATATCCTCAATTTAGATTTATTTTCAGTCCTTTCCTCCGCTGCCATTTTCAAAGACAGATTTTTCATTTTTTCTGATGGAGTTTCAGTTTGGTAATTTTGTCGCAAAACTGTATCGTTATGTCTGACTCGTTTGATGTCTCAGACTAGATGGGGAAGTGGTGGAGTACAGATCATTTTGAGATTCAAAAATCGAATGCACCTTTCAGAATTTTCGTGGAAGATGCTGACGCTTTGCTGGGAACATTTTCTTTTTTCTTGATAAACTGTTGGACACATTTTGCATGTGTACTTTCGGGGTTTTAACTACTAGTGAAATGAGTATCTTTAAATTGCCACAGTAATTATCCTTAAGGATTAAGGAAGCCATTCATATCAGTCCTTTGAATTTTCTATGATCAGGTTTCCCATGCATCACCCCGTCCATTCTTACAAGCATTATTCTTTTTGCATTCTTGATATCTCTGTACTTCTTTGGCTTACTTTCTGATATGGGAGAAGATGATCATTAACAGAACGAAATTGATGTGTTTTGACATAAAGAAGTGGAGGAGCAAGCTGCAGAGTTGGAGAAAGATTTGATAGTGAAAGAACTTGAAACACTTGATGTGCTTGAAGAACTTGGAGCCACTAAAAGGATAGTGGAGGAATTAAAGCAGCAGCTACAGAAAGAAACCTTGAAATGTTTTGCAACTCCTGAAGTCCATGCCTATGGGCCGGCTGGACCTCCTGTCATTAAGGAGATGAATAAGGAAAATTATGGAAATACTGTCAACAACCAAGAACAGATATTGCATGGTTCAAGCCCCTGCTCTGTCTCATCACCTGATCTGATCTTAATGGAGTTAAAACAAGCTAAACTTAATCTTGGTAAAACTCTAAATGATCTTGGGGTGATACAATCTTCGGTTGAATCTTTGAATAAGAAGATGAAGAAGGAGAAGATTTTTCTTGGGAGGACACACGACATGCAAACATCAAAATATGCCGCTGTTTGTATTCAAGAGAGAGCTCAAGAACAAAATAGATTAAGTCCTCCTGTAGCTCCTGTAGAAACAAGTAGCATTTTCGGAGATCCCATGAACATTATTAAGAGTTTCAATTCTGACGCTGGGCAGTACAATAGAATGGTTGAAACAAGATCTGAAGTTTCAAGTCCCTTCAATATGTACGAAGAGAATGGATTTGGTATCAAAACTGCAGAGATGAGGTGGTTGGCAGCTAAGAAGATGGAAGAAGCTGCGATGGCAGCAGAAGCCTTTGCTCTTACTGAAATCAAGGCACTATCTAGCACTGAGAGACCATCTGCCTTTGTCCTGCCAGAGCCCGAGAAAGTGACTTTTCCTTTTGGGGAGCAATCTCTAACCCCGGAAGCTCAAATACCCGAAGAGTCAACCACAAAGGAGGTCATAGATTCCAAGTTTCAAATGGATGATTTAAATATTTCTAAACTGACTATTCTGAGAAGGATGGAGGAAGCAACAGCAGAAGTTCGGCATAGCAAGCAAATCTTGACAGAAGCTCTGAACAGAGTTGAAAGTGCAAACAGGAAGCAACATTCTGCTGAAGAGGCTCTGAGGAGATTGATTCCTGAGAATGATCTCAAGGTACAAGCAATGTATAACTCTATCAAGTGCAACAAATTCAATTTAGCCGGAAACTGTCAGGATTCTCCTCTACCAGGTGTAACAAGATCAAACCCAGTGAACAACAATCCAAAGCCTGCTTTAAAGCCAACAGTTTCAATGAGAGATGTGCTTAGCAGAAAGCAAGTTCCTGAAGAATATGCTAACAGAAAAGATATGGAAGAGCATACTGAAAGACAAAAGGTTGCTTTGAGCCAAATGCTGCGTGCACTAAGGGAAGATCTTACGCTTCCTCCAAAATCAGAGAAAGATGAGAGCGATCAGAAGTACATAGCCCAGAGGAAGAAGTTTGGATTCATTCAAATATCACTCCCACTTTCAAGGCCGAGTAAGAAAAGGGCTTGAACTTTTTAAGCTCAATACATATTCATGCATGAATGACCACCGTTTAGTGTGTTGATGTGTAACGGCTGTTGTCATTTTTTTTTGTTTTCCGTGGTACATGATATAGAAGATGTTTGAATTCAAAATCTCTTGCTTATTTCTCACATGATATCCCTTACAACTAGACTCGGGGTTTAGGTATGTTAATTCTGTAGAAGATTGTATTGGTGTTTGATTTTGTAAAGGATTGTGTGCTTGAGCGTTTGGTTTGCAATGAATTATGATAAAGGTATTGAGACTTCACTATCAGGATCAGCTTACTTGTCGATGTACTTTTCGCTTCCGTCTAACGTACGGTTCCGATATGCTTGTTGGATGGTGGTCAGTGCCTACTCGTACGAGAATATTTGATAGTTAAAACATACCCTTAGTTTTGGATTAAAGTAAATGAACTTTGCCTTTAAATGTGAGAATATCAAGTTTGATTCTGAATAATTTTGTCATAGTTAATTTAGTTTCTTTATTATCAAGCTGACGCACGTTTGAGTGAATAGTTAACTCGCTGTGATGTTATTATATAATGTAATTGTAACACTAATGAAGCGACCATATTTGATGTCAAACAAATGAAAATTTGAAGGGAAAAAACTATTCTGATAGTCTTTTATTTCAGATTTTTTTTTGGAGGGAAAAACTAAACCAAAAGGATTGGGTGGATAATTGAGATTTTTTTTTTTTTAGTTTTCCACATGATATCCTGGAAAGTGTGGGTATTTTGGATTCATTATCCACCTATTTCATTTCAGACTAATCCGAATCCTTGTGTAGGTTGAGCCTTTAACGTGGTGATTTTGTGGGTATCACTAATGAAACATATTTATATGCTCAACTTGAGTCTATATATTCTAGGACTCAAATACGAGATCTTAGATTAAACTATTTGAGCCCCTAATTGCTCAAAACAAGTGTCCGTTAGTATACCTTATATGGTGTTGAAAAAGTTATTTTTTTTATTATATATAGATATGTAAAATATTTTACATATATAACTAGATTATAAACTCATGCTTTGTATATAATTTAAGGTAAACTTCATTTTTATTAAATAGCTTGTGATTTTTTATGAATTTATATTATTTATAGATGAACAATAATATACATATATATATATATATATATATATATAAAAGATGGTGCTTCTAGCTCAAATAATAAAAAGTGGACTGTAGTATAAATAATCACGAAAGGTTTAAATCTCCGAGTACATTTAAAACCCAAAAAAAAAAAACAAAACAAAACAAAACAAAAAAACACAAGCGAAGTGGTGCTTCCTTTTACATAACCCAGAAAGGGAAAGGTAATGCATCCAAAGTCCCTACGACTGTAACGACTCCAAGCGACCAATATGAAGGAACCATTTGGCCGATTCAGTGCCACGTGGAGCATAATCGGTAGGGAACGAGTCCTAGAAACGGAAAATGAGGTTAACTCATAAATTCGAATATCTTGATTTGAACCGGATTGCGTTGCCCAAAAACAATGGGTTTTTTATATTATTATTACTCCATCCGTTAAAACTTAATTTTTTTAACTCGATCTCATTCTTTAATAAAATAATTATTAATTTTAAATTAATTTTATTTTTATATTTATTTTTATTTAATAAAATATTTCATCTTAAAAAATAAGATAATTTATTTAATAGAAGTATTTTAAAAAAGTGAATGATTATCTATTAAAAAATAAAAAAAATATCTTATATTTTTAATACACACTCCCTTAAAAACTATATTTTTAATGAAGAAGGTATATATTATAAATATAGTATACTCATTTTATCTAAAATTATAAAATACTTTTAAAAAAAAATATATAAAATAATTTTAACAAAAATAAGGTCCATTAAAAATGCTTTTTCAATGTTACATTTTCTATTATATTCTCTTTTTAATATTCTTGAGAAAATCACTTCAAAATCTCCTTCAATAATTATAATTATTCTAAAGTCTTACTAATTGTTGAAATTAGTTTGCAATCCAATGTCCCTAACTGTGAATAATATTACCCAAGAAAATGACCCTCTTGCCCTTAGCCTCCTCGCCGTCGATTATTTCTCTAGTTTTCATTCTAGCATAGTTTCATTCTCAATTTATTCATCTGAGTATCGCTTCTTTTCATAATGATAATGGTCGACAGGACACCCACACATTTATATCCATATAAATGGAAAGTCCCAAAATCTTTCCCGCACAAAGGTCATCATTTTGTTACTCGAGGATACTAAAGGTGCATATATCAAAGAGGGTAAAAATATAAATTTAATCATTAACCATTTTTGAGGACTATTGAATAGTTATATTTTAAAGTGTTACAAAATAAATTATCGACTATTAAGATCGTTGTATCTATCACTTGATGTCCATTTCTCATTAACATTTGTTTATTTTTAATAATATGGGACCCACCATGTTTTAAGGCTTGGCTGCTTCTCTCTCTCTCTATCAATGCTTCATCTTTTATCTACTTCACACTATCCATCTGCTTCATTGACTCTCCCCCTACTTTCTTTATCTTCACAGTAGAGGCTATTTCGATGTTAAAGCACTCTCCGGAGTTGGCTTGCCAAAGGAGTCATGCCCGAGTCACTCCTCTCCATGTCAATGTCACTCTTCTCACCCTCCCTTCAAGTTCTCTCAAAAGAGCTTGCCTCAAGTCTTAGTCTCATGACCACTAAATCTATACGACGACGTTTTCATCCCATCCTCTCTATTGCAGAGCCACGTCACAATGGATCTCGTTTCTCCAGTGAAACCCATGATTCATCAACCACTACCCTTATTTTAAGCTCTTAAAATAAAGCTCAAGAACTCTTCCTACCAAATTTCATGCATGAGTGAATTGAAGGTAATGCTCCTAGATAGTGGAATTTCGGTAAACCTCCATCATTTGCATGAGAGTTAACGAAGTTGAGCTCGTGGAGATGGTCACTTGGTCACCAGTATTTCCATTAACGATGGCAACATTGTTTAGCACTACATGTTGAGCTCCCAACATTCACGAATGGTGAGGGGACAAAGAGAGAGAATAAAAGAGAATACATACTAAAGGCGAGGGAAAGGGAGGAGAGAGATGCAATTTGATGGAAGAACAATGCCACATGTTAAATTTTATGTGGGGTCCACAATATTGAATGAACGTTTGTCAATAGCAAATTAACGGTTGGTGCTAGGTGTTGCCATTTCATTAATTGATGGTTTATTGTACACCACCTCATAGTAAAGTCTACGTAATAGTGTTTGAAAAATAATTTGTGGCTAAATTGCACCTTTATTTTTAAAAAAAAAATAGGTGCTAAAAATATTAGATTTCTAACAAGAAATCAAAATATTCTTTTACATAGAGGATTGTATATTCTTCATATGATAGCATATTTGAACCCAAAATATTATAGGATAAAGGACAAAAATACCCATAAAGTGGTAAGTTTGGGGCCCCAATAGCCTAAAGTGAAGAAAATAGCATAAATACCTATAATATTACATGAATGGGTGCAAAAATGATCAAACCGTTAACTTTGTCTTAATGCCATTAGTTTTTGATGTTAAATGCTGACTGTATATGTCACATGTCAGTCTTTACTAATATAGGCTAAAAAAGAAATAATATTGCCCACAAAATTGTCGGCTAGGAGCATCCAGTAGCCTAAGGTAAGAAAAAGGTAAAAATACCTATAGCATTATCAAAGTTGGTGTAAAAGTGATCAATTTATCAAATTCTTTAAATGTTAACCGTTTAGTTGAAACCTGAGTAGAAGTTAATTATTTTTTTGCTGATGTAGATAAAACTATTCCCAGGGGAATCTCTATAGAGGTTGATACGATTATCGTTTGAATACTCATAATATTATTTTAGTAGGTACAATAGTAACTTATCCGTTAAAATTTATGCCATGTGGTTTCATTGTCGCGTATCCTACCCCCTTCCTCCCTCGCTCTCCACGCATTCTCCTTATCTACAAGACTTGAGATTCAACACAGTGAGATATGTTGTACACAATTAAAGATCAATACCAAATATACCTCCTATGCTGCCTACTTTAAGAAAATTGTCACAACTTTAAGCAATTTCATTCATTATAGGTTCAAAATTTTCAAATGATTTTTGCCAGTACTGTAAAGAAACAATCGATTTAATTTGATGTTAAATCAAAATGATATTTTTCCACGTGATATTATACAATAACCAATTAATCTCTATAGAATTTTACTTGAGAATATTTTTGTCAACGTTATCGAAAAAATGATCAATTTCTATTTAGGTGTCAGTTAAACGGTCAATATTTAAGAGATTTGATGGATTGGTCATTTTTGCACTAACTTTGATAATATTATAGGTATATTTGCCCTTTTTTTCTTACTATAGGCTACTAGATGTTCTTGGTTGATAATTTCATAGGTATTTTTTCCTCATTTTTTAGTCTATATCAGTAAAGACTGACACATGGCATGTATGGTTAGCATTTAATACTGAAAACTAGCAGTGTCAAGGCAAAGTTAATGGTTTGGTCATTTTTACATCCATTCACATAACGTTATAGGTTTTTATACCAATTTGCTCACTTTGAGTTATTAAACGCCCTTGGTTGATCATCTTTGTGGGTATTTTTATCTCTTTACCCAATATTATATATTCTTTATGAATAGTATATTTGAACCAAGAAACCAGGGTGAAAACCTGTAAAATTAAATGCAATCCGATTCAATCTTATATAAAGCCATAATCAATGCCTCGAGAAGTCATCTTTGGTCATATATTCAAAGCTAATGTACAAGAAGAATTATTTTTTAACCTATCAATTTTATTGCCAGTTGTCACCACTCAGCTTCTTCAAACTTGTCAAGCTAAGTAATCGATATTCTCATTTTCTAAATCCTCCCTCAATCCCTCATGCATAGATAACTATTCCAATTTTTTAAGTTTTAATAGATTTTCAAATGCTCTCACAGTGGTGAGTGAGTTGCTTGACTCGTTGGTTCTAGCCTTTAGTACTACCTCTTGGTTTAGGAATTGGGACTTAGCTAAGGCCAAATCTAGGTTTGAGCTAACTTTAATAATATAATCACTAAAAGCAAAGAGAATGCAAGTCTGCCATTCCATATCCTTAAGTAACTAAATAGTGACGAAAGAAACTCAAAGAAATGATTGGGCGGTTAGTCTTTGCGTGGGAAACATTTTGGGACTTTCCATTTATATGGATACAACTATGTCAATCTCCTATCGGACATCATTATTGGGAAAAGAAGCAGAACTCGAACATGAAGGAATTGGGAATGAAGCTGCAAGGGAACGAAGACCAAAGAAATAATTGAGAAGTGGTCATCTCTTAAGCAACCACTTATTTATTATGTCAATGGAGATTTCTCAAGAATCAAGCAATCAGAGTTAGTTAGTCAACATCGACTACCTAATGGGCAGTAGAATGTCAATAATTGGCTAAATGTTCTTCCACGATGGGTGATTGAGAAAATTAAACAAACAAAACCTCCAAATGGATATGAGATTGATCACTTTCATTGGAGGCCTGTGAATGATGGTGTCTTAGTGTTAAAGCTGCCTACAAGTTTTTACAATCCCAAAGCCAAATCTCACGGAAACCTTTATGGAAGAAGATCTGGAAATGGCCTATTCCTGAAAAAAAATAAATTTTTTCTTTTGGAAAATCACTCATGAGAGATTACTTACCAATTCACTCGGAGCATGATATGACTTATCCATCAACTATGAGTGCCCTTTTGAGTGTGCCTGTGAGGAGACCATTATACACATATTTCGAGATTATGAAATTGCTAAAACTGTGTGGAAAAGGATTATTAATCCTAACTTTTATTCTGTTTTCTTCTCTATTGATTTTCAGGTTTGGTTGAGATGGAATAGTACTCACAACCAGGAATCCATCAATATAACAAATGGGTTTGGATCAAGATATTTGGCATTATATGTTGGCTCTTATGGAAAAATCAGTGTAGAAGACTCTTTGAACGTATTCATAGCATAGCTCAGGAAGTGATTCATCGAGGCCTCTACTTTCTCATGGAAGACTCTAGTAGTCATAGCTTCAAGCATATAATATTTCAAGACCCTTTCTAACTCTGCTACAGGATGGAAACCTCTAGCAAATGGCTACATACATGTGGACGTGGATGCCTTTGTCAATCAACAAGGATATGTTGCATGTGGGGGAGCTCTCAAAGATGAACATGGGGATTGGATACTTGGATTCAAATGGGAGTTAGGTAGTATATTTGTCACAGATGCTAAGATATTAGTTGTTTAAACTAGAGATGAACATACTCTTCAGAGATGGTTGCAATAATTTGACCCTCAAGAATATAGTGACTCAAACTAGAGAGTTGATATATAAAGAATGGGATCTCATCATAAACTAGATTTCAAGAGATTTTTTGGATTATGCTGACTACCTAATAAAGAATGCTCATGGAGTGGGTGAAGACATCATGCTAATGTGGCACTGCCTATCAGATTGTTTTGCTATTTTATTGTCAGACAAGGGTGAGTATAGTTAGCCCTTTTCTTTTCTTTTCAAGCTACTGCTTGCCTCTGTAACCCAAAAAAATAATAATAATAATAATTGAGAGTAAGGAGGAGAAGGACATGAGAGTCATTTTCTTCTTCATGGTTATTTACGATTGAAGACTCTGGGATTGCAGACTAATTTCAAAAATTGGTAAAATTTTAAAGTAATTACAGCTGTTGTGGGGGATTTTGGAGTGATTTTTTTAATATTTTTTAGTCAATTAAATATTAAATAAAAGTTATTTTTAAAAGTTTTTTTATTTTTTTAATAATTGTAAAATATATTTAATAAGTCATATTAATATATGAAATTTTATTTAAAATATCTTATAATTTGATATGGAGAAATTATAACCGCAGATTTGGACAAATTTAACACATAAAAAAATAAATTTTACGACTGAAAAATAGGAAAATATCATGGTAGTGTTTGAGAACTTCACGATACGGGCACTGCGGCATCCATACATGGTACATATACCTGAAAATCTTTGGCGGCCCTGACAATAACGCCTGTGCAATTTTAGCCGTTAGATCTGTTCAAGAGCCTTCTTCTCGTCACGTGTCGATCTCTTATTATCGCTCCTTATCTTTTCTTTTTAATTTTCCTGAAAAAGGAAAAACAAATATGCCAGCAACAGGTTTTGTGGGTTTCGTGACCCCAGAATATTGGATTACAGCGGGAAAAGCTGCTTAACTTTTCATTTTCCCCCCACTATTACACACTTTCCATACAAATAATAATAATAATGAAAAAAAAAACCATTTTTGGGCGGAAAAACAAATTTGCAAATTCGCAATCTCGCGGTGATGAAATTTCGCAGGGCGCCACTTGCAGCTTGTTTGCGGGTCTCCGAACCAAAGAATTACTCACTTAAATGTCTAATTGCCAGGAGACCAGAACCGAGTCGAGCAAGCTTGACGTAGCGCCTTAATGGCGACTTTGCACAGAAGCAGGAAAAGGGTCAGCGCCTTTCGCCGTGCTCCCGATGGAAGCGCTTTTGAGATGTGGTATATACTATATAGCTGTGTTATTTCCTTTTCGTGATTTATTTTGTCTTATAAACTAATCAAGGATCATTGTTCCTATCACATTCTTAGTTTTCAATGCTGTACATTTCAGTGAGGGATGTGGAACATCGGTGGCCATTGCGTTGGCTGACATGCACGAATGTGAACCGAAGAGGGGCGTCAAGAGGTTCAGGGAAATAAATGTGAAGCAACTAATGAATAAAAGTTTTGAAGATTTGAACCAACACGTGCCGAATAGAAGTCCTGAACATGTGAGCCAACATGTGACGAATAAACGTTTTGAAGACCAACCCAGATCACCTTTCCGCTTGTTTATGTAGAATCTCATCCCTGAAGCTTTTCATTGCATGTTATTGGTTTTATTAGTGACACTAATTTTAAATGGAGTTCTTCTGTTTGGAATAAGGTAAAAGTGATCGTATATTAATGAGGTTTCTTTTTCAGGGAAAGCTTCGTCAAGATCAGCAATAATGGAACTTTGCTTGAAATTGATAGGAAAGGGTTTGAGACCTGGAAAAGCATGACGGAGGATGTAAGCCCAGTCCATTCTTATTGTGTAAGTTGGAAAATAGTGTCCTTTTAAGACTTAATTTTCCTTTCTCTTCAGGAAAGGCAACCATATGTTCTTCAAGCTGAAAAATTAGACTCTGCATACCAACGAGCTTTGAATAAAGAGGTTAATGATATGATACAGGTAAATGGACACTGTTTTTATACAAGGTTTTTTTCTTTTGCCCCTTTAAAAATCTTGTTCTATCTTGGGAACGTAAAGGAGGGTCCTTGGAAACTCTGAATTGAGGTTTTGGAAACATATCATATATGGGCTTTTGAGACACACTCATACAAGGGCTTTTGTGCATCTATCAATCTAAGAAACTGAGGAGTCCTTTTGTTCAGGCCTTACCCGCCACATTGTTTTTGGACCTTCATTTGATAGAGGCTTTTTTTTTTTGGCCCCTTTTGGTTCGTAGAATTATACATCTTTCTTGCTTGCAATAAAGAATGAGAAGGCACTGACTTTGGAGCCAAGCTTTTTCTTTACTTTACTGATGGTAGCAAGGAGATAGATATGAAGGCATGTGTGATATGGTGAACTGCTTTTTGTTCACACTTGGTCATATGAATTGCGACCCTCATCACTTTGCTTGTCTTATTCTTTCAAAATTCCTAGTCCCTACAATATGACAAATGGTTGGTTTCAGGTGGATGATGAGGCTGATTCAGCAATGGTTGGGAAGATTGACATGGTTTGCCTGCTTCCAAAGCTTGAAGAACATTTTAGATTTACTGTATACTCATATTTATTTTTCTAGTTCTAACTATTGCGCATGGGTTTGTTCAGTTTTTTCAGTTCTGTTGTGAAGAACCCTCGGATTCCTCTGAATACTACTCAGAATTCTCAGATGATTGCTATACAATGGAGGTATATATCAGTCTTCCATTCTCTTTGAATCTGAATCCTTCCTGCTTAAGAGTGTTCTGCTTAAAGTGTTCTCACTGTTTCGTTGTGCACAGAACAATCAGCTTCCTGGACGGACCTGACTGCTTTATTAATTATTATTAACTTCGAATTAGGAATAAGGGAATCATGGATTTTGGAGGAGATGTCCCTCAGTAAACTCGGAGGCGGCATTTTACGTTGAACATTCTGTACAGTGGGACCCCCATCAAGGAGACACTGTTGGAAAATTCAGTTGCACGCAGTTTCTCGAAAGGAAGTCTGTTGGATATTGTACAGTGATAGTCTACAATTTCTGCTTCTAATATATTGAAGCTGGAGGAGTTTTGTTTTGGGGCTCTCCTTGCTGACATGTGAGTGTGATCTTGGAATGAGAAGATGCTGATTGACATTTGATTTTGTATGTTTTGGTGAAATGTTCCGCCAGTGTTATTTTGTTTTTGACAGGAGATTGCATTTTGCTATAGAATTCTATCTTTGATGGAGACGGTTCAGTTGGCTGATATTCAATGTGAAATATGAAAACGATTCATGGCACTTGGCTTCTTTTACTGAACCTGAAATTAACCAGGAAAAAAGCTCTTTTTTGGGCTGCCAAGCAACATGGAAGGAAACTAGTGCACGGAATCAAGACATACTAGTAAAAACTATATAATTGTAATTAGGGGGCCAAACTTATCATGATTTATATCATGCTTATCTTTTCTCACATTAGAATCTTTACTAAATGTGGCCTAAAATATTGCCAGCATATTAATGATGTAATTGAACTGGTAAATAAATCATGCATACAAGTAATTGATTTATTTTCACCTCATGAAATTTAGTAATATTTGGATTAAGGTGCAAAAATATCCATACAATTTTTCTACAAGTGCTTTTGGCATCTTTAAGTTAACTATAATATTAGATACTTATTAACTTCATAAAAATAATCAATTTTCTTCAATTTGTTAAAATAGTTTAAGGGTTAAACATTTGCTATTTTTATAACTTAACAATTTCAGGCAATTTTAATGTACTGAGAAAGATTAGTGTCCTTTGTAAATTTAATGGATATTCATGCATTATTATTAATTTAAAGCTACCAGAAATTTTTGGAGAATTTTTTAAAAATATTTTTGCAAATAAGCAAAAAAATTTAAAACAGAATATGGTTATGTTAAATTTTAGGGACAGTGAAATCTTTTCCCTTATTTTAATTATTAATTTGATTCCAGAAATTTAATTTTTATCTATTAAGTTTCTAAAATTCCATAACCACACACAACTATTCCTTATGATTTGAAGGGAAGATAACACCATGAGGATTCATTGTATGTGGTTATGAAACTTTAGGTATTTAATTAATAAAGATTAAATTTTAGGTACCAAATCAATAACTAAAAATCTAAAACAAACTTGAAGGAAATTTTTTTTTATTATTCCATGAATTGAAAATTATCACACGTCACAATAATTGTGTAATGGATGAATTTGAGGATGTTATCATTATTATGATGATTGTTTTTATCATAAATCATTAACATATTAACATACCAAAATGCATGCACCTATTTACAATTACTTAAGAATTTGTTATATATTTTTAAACAAATATAGGATGGCAATTATAATTTTTTAGAAAATACTAAAAAAACATCAATGTTTGTTATACGTTCGTTCATAATTTCTGGAGGATTAGAAGTGAAAAAGAAGGAGAATAAGAAATTCTTATCCACAAACACAGTGAAGGAGCTTATCACGTGAGTGGCAACACGCCTTGGTCATCAAAAACTCTGAAACTGATGCCGAATGAGCCGGGAAAATCGAGCAGCAGCTAAAGGCTCTAGCTTCTTCTTCTTCGTCTTGTTTGCTCAGCTGTCTGCTTCTTCCCCAGCATTAACGCCTTGCTTTGTTGCCATGGACTGCGTCGCTTATCACAATTTTGGAGCCTATTCTCGTTTAATTTCTCCCTCACCGTCGTCTCGTCTTCAACCTTCTTCTTTCCCCCTCCAGCTCAACATTTTGGTATGCAATTTCTTCTCTTCATTTACGCCTTTGTTTCTTTTCTTCATTTAATTGCGATTTTATCTTTTTTCTAATATGTGCTTTTTCCCAGAAATTGAAGCGATCGGGTGTGGTCAGGAATCGTCTGGTCGTTCGGTGTTCTTTTGGGCCCGAAGATGATGGCTCTGTGAATGGTAATGGGTTGCCATCTACCCCCAATAAACTTTTCATGCAGGAGGTACAGATTCTTCTCGTTTTCCTGATTCAATATGCCGGTTGTCGAGTCTTTGGATTCCTGCTTTTTTGTTTTTATTATTTTCTAATTTCTCTGCTTAACCAACATTGAAGGTTCATCTTTTATCGGCCTGGGTCATCCTTATGCGATCTTATTGGAACAGTGAATTTAATTATGTTAACTTAATTAGAATTCCAGGACTCCAAGGTTTCTTATTCCCATAACTCTTCCCAATTTATGTTCTCTGCCAGGCAATAGGAGCTGAATATGGGGAAGGCTTTGAGACTTTTAGAGCTGATGGACCGTTAAAAGTTGATGTGGTAATTAATTTTGTTTGCTATGGTCATTTTAAGTTTCCCGTAAAATTAAGTTGAGCTGCTAGTTTATGAATCAATAGTTTTATTTTATTTTATTGAAATTAGGACTATTTGAATGAGAAGTTGCAAGATGGATTTCTTCAGCGAATACGCTATGCTATGAAGCCGGATGAAGCTTATGGTCTTATCTTTTCTTGGGACAACGTTGTGGTCAGTTTTAAGCTTTTAGGAATGTTTTTGAGAGTTATCAAGCTAGACATGCTTTGGAAATGTTATGTGGTGCGAAAAGATTTTACGGTCTTTGTTGAACTTGTGTAGACTTGTATTGCCTCAGTTATTAACTACTTATGGGGGCTATTGCTATATTTCTTGAGATAAGTAGAGCACAACAATCCATGATGTTGTGCAACTGAATTATATTTTTCTCCATGATAACTGTATGTGATGTATTTCAGGTTGATACTCGAGCTCTTAGATGGAATGCTTGGGAGCAGCTTGCTTTAGAAGAGGGTAAGTTAAGTTCTTACTGTGGGACTTTAGTGAGATGATCTTTGGAGCTTGACTGTGTTGATTTTAATGGACCATGTACTGAACTGAATAGAAAGAAAAATTATCACAAGTGCAAATAGTGTAATAGAATAGAATCATTTGATTGGATAGTTTATGTAAAATAATAGAAAGGAAAGGAAAGAATTTCATAAAATTTTACCATGTTAACGGTACTTGTCCCATTGCTGGTGTTGGTGTATAAAAATGGAAATTAAGAGAACTCAATCAAGTGATTTTCCATATCCTCCTTTTTGCCACTTTTGAAGGAAAGAAGTGTTATATGCTATTTGAAGGAACAGATCATTTCCTTGGCTTTCTTTCCTTCCTCCACAAGAGATCAGGCCCCTTGTTTTCCATTTTGTTCGCTTTTATTTCATCTATATAAACATGCTACTAAATGGCATTGCCATTTTTAAATTAAACAGGTTCAATAAACTGTGAAGTCCATGCACCGTGTTTTCTGGGAAGTTTTTTCATGCTTTGGTACAAGAAACAAATACACTGTGGATCAGTGTATCAAATTGGACCTGCCTTGGATCTGAGATTTTAGAAAATTTCATGTTGACTTGTGTGCATCGTTCTAGAGGTAAGATTATTCTAAGTCTTACTTTGATTCTCATGCAGGGAAGGATATTCCTGAAGATGGTGATGTGGAAAGAGCAATGCTATATGCTGGTGCTGATCACGTGTTGCAGAAGGTTTGGAAACTTGCATTTGCTTATCTAAACATGTATTGCATAACTTATATATCACACAATTTTTAACTATTTGATTATAAATTACAGATTTCTTCATGTCAATATAGGAGAGATTTTTTTTAATCGACAACTAGAAGCAACTGATATAAGAAGGAAGAACATTGCAGTCATGACAATAAATTCATGATCATGTTTATTATGACTCTGAAACTAATGAAGTTATTGCAGTTTGTAGTTTGTATCATTTTAGATACATGTTATTATTTTGGACTCATGCCAAAAAGTTTCATTATGTGAAAATCACAAATATATTCAACTTCTGAAGATAGCATGTGCTAATTTGGGAATAGACAGCCATAAAATGTAATCTTTTTTTTACTGAAGAGAGTGAGCAGACTGGTTTTACAGAGCGACTTTAGCCCAATGAATACCTTTTTTTAAAAAAAAAGAAAGAAAGAAAAGTGGTGTTCAGGTTGCCCAAAATTCCATTTTGTGCTTGTTTAATATTGGGTCAATTAGTCCAGAGCCTTGCTGTTAGGAATGTAATTCCAGGTTTCTCATCATGAAATCTGACATTGATCTTCAGGTTGTCTTAGTTATCTGTATATCCCATCATCTAATATCCTCTTTGCTTCTGATCTTAATATCTTATTGAACATTAAGCTGATGAAACAAAGGGGAAAAATATTTTCCACAACTGGGAACAGGAAAAGGAAAAATTAATTTTGTTCTTAAGTAGTGGTCTGTTGAATGTGGCCTTCAATTACTAGAATATCCTTCTGAAGGTGTTATTATCAAAATTCTCCAATCTTGCTTTGAGCACACATTATGTTTTCTGACTCACCTTTCTAAACTTGAAGCATTTTCTATGCGACGCGGCAGAAAGCAAACTGGACAAATTGAAGTTGAGGTTTTCACAGTTATATTATGATAATCTTCTCAAAGTAAGTCCCCCCCACCCAAAAAAAAAACACCAAAAAAAGGGATGTTGTTTGGCCTCATAGACCCAAGAACCTGACTTTTTTTTGCACATGTTTTAATATAGCTTGAAACACCCGTTGAAGGACTTAAAGACTGGTTGGAAGCTGTTTACACAGCTCGTATCCCCTGTGCTGTCGTTTCAAGTCTAGATAGAAGAAGCATGACAGAAGCTTTGGAACGAATGGGACTCCAAAAGTATTTCCAGGTTGGTAGTACATGAGAATGGTTAAAACAGGAACTTCATCTTAGGAATAAATAGTCACTATGTGTGGCATTGCAGAAATAGTAATTTGATTTAAATAACAAGTAACTCTTGATTTTAACTAATGAAGTTGGGTTCACAGTAATGGACTCAAACATCCCTTGAGTGAGGTCTTGGGTTCAAGCTTTGTAGATGAGAGAAACCCACATTAGGACAATTTTTTCCCAATTAGGGCTTGACCTAGTTCGAATCTAAATTGGTTAGTAGCATCGCATACCAGTATTTTTTTAGTTAATCTTATATGGACTCAAAAGATCGTAATATCTTATTTTATTTTCAGGATAAAAGTGTCATTTTAGAGTTATAATATATATATATATATATAAATTATGGCTTATGGCTTGTATTCTAAAACTGTATGACCTTTTTTTCTAAATTTGACTGTTATTAAAAAAATAAAATAAATAAATTATGTTGCTGGTTGAATGTGGCTATGACTCTTTTCCTGTAATAAGCTTCCACTTCAGTTTGACTTTTGGTCTATGAAATGTTATGAAAAGCTTTAAATGCCTGAATAAAATCAATTGGTTGTCGCTCCTAAACAAAGTCCAAGTTTTGCTATTTAAGATTGGGAAATTTAAAAGGCTTTCACCGAATGTCCTACATATTTCCAGGGTAAAACAAATGGATAACATTGCCACTTGTTGGATAGAACTAATTTCAACACATTGTTTGACTTGGACATTGAGGATGCTTGATATCTTTACAT